ACAAAAACATGTAAAAGAAAAATTGAAGAAAAATACCACATCACATCACAATCTAAAGTTTGATAGGAAGAACATGAGAGAAGTACAACTAAAAGTCAGAGGGACCATGGTCTGGAGGAGGTCGCTGATTGAATACTGAAAGATAGCTATTCATCATAGTTACATTTGTGTTCATAGAGTCAAACTGACCTTGTATCCTTCCTATGTCTTCAAGGTATCATGCATCCTGTTGGTTTAGATGAGTCTAAATTTGATCAAAGCATTGATCGAAATGAGTCTCTATCTGATTAAATCATTGGACCATCTCCTGAAAGAAATTCTGATCATATCCCTGAGTAGGTGCAGGAGCTCCCCCTTCTCACTCAATATCATCGCTTGAACTCTCATTTCTCCCAAACAGAGATCAAAAAGAAGCATCAGTAAAGAAGATTGGCATTTCAGTGGGAGGATCAGGATGAATAATGTTGTACTTGTTTTCCAAAATGTAAATTACTAAGTATCCTAGAGCAATATTTTTCTTCCTCTTATGATAAGGAAGCCCAATTTTAGAAAGGTTATGAATGTAATCCAAGATGAGTAGGGCCTCATCAATAGGTTGTCCAGTCATGATCAAATAGGTAATAGTGGATAGAAGAGGAGTCATATTTATGCGATCACCAGTCTTAGGAATGATTGAAATTCTTAATACATGCTAGATGACCCTAGCATTTTGGTTCAAAGTGTATACTCTAAGTGACATACTTGAATTACACCTCTAAGAGTTTTATTTATCTCAGACCAGTTATAGTCAGATTTAGAGGTGAAGGTGTGTGCTCTAGTCCCATGAGTCCTTAAGTGAAGAAAGGTTCCTAGATCTTCCTTAGTGATTTCCACTAGCTATTTTTTGACAATAGAAGTTATCCTACTTTCATCCTCACTGACTCTCATATTTGCAAGGAAATAGTGAAAGTCTCTCTGTGATAAGTGTAGATCAAAATCAGAATGAAGGAGAATTGGGTTAAAGCAAATAGAGGCATAACTAAAAAGTGGATATCATCTTGAATCAGAAGTCTTGGATGAGTGATTTTGGCGGCTACATACCTATAGAAAGAATCCTCTTTATCTCTAAATAAAAAAATGTCATCCCCACCCCTGGATGATGATCCCTTAGTAACTCGAGAGCACTTGCTAGAACTTGCTATTTCTAGGTTAGAGTCTCTAAAAGGATTCAAGAAGGGTTTAGAAGTGAATGGAAATGAATTCAATAGCCCTCCTATTTAAAGAAAAATGACCCATCGTAAAGTATGAAAATGGCTTTATACGTACTATCTTGAGATTGTACGGGATGAAAAAATTTTTGTATGGACTTTTGATAACATCCAAAACAAAATGACTTTTCTTAAACACATAATGATTGAGGCATCGTTTCGTACATAATTTTTTACCATACAATAGTACAAATGAATATGTGTTCATCTGGGATGATCAATTATTTAAGATCATTTTAATGACAGTTAGGTTCGTCCCCGACAAAAAATGACACGTGGATCGTACAGACGAAATTTGATTTTAGACGTATGATCAGTTATAAAAACTGATTCTAACTAGATAACCATCATATGTGTACAGACAAATGTATACAGATCGTACAGGATGATGACAAGATTGTACAGTACGATCTATGAAAAAAATCCAAATTTATGCATTTAACTCTAAAATAACCATAAACATGCTATAGAATTCGTATAGAACAAAAATAAAAATGTACAATATAAATAAAACACTTAGAAAATGTAACCCAGAAAAAATTTCTCAAATTTAATCAATCATACACAAGTGACAAGTGTCTAAATTAAAAACTCTCAAAATAAAAACCAAAATAAAAACACTCACAACTAAAACAAAAAAAAAAAAACAAAAACAAAATCAAACACACATAAAAACATATCAAGTTTGCAGAAGATTTTATCTAAACATTAAGTTCAATCACACATAACCTTGTTCTTAAGGTGCTAAAAGTATCAAAGGATAATAGTTAAAAATATCTGCAAGTTGATTTTCAGTTGAAATATGATTCAATTCAATTTCTCATTTGGCTACATGATCCTCACTGAAATGATGCCTTATGTCAATATGTTTGGTTCTATAATGTTGAATAGGATTTTTTGAAATGCAAATGGCACTAGTATTATCACAATAAATTGGAATTATGCCTATTAAAAATCCTAAATCAATGAAATATTGTTTCAACCAAAAAACTTGTGCCGCACAACTTTTTAAGGCAATGTATTCAACTTCTATAGTAGATAGGCCTATAGAATTCTATTTTCTACTGAACTAAGAAACTAAAGAGTTTCCTATAAATTAACAAGTTTCAGATGTACTCTTTCTATCTACCCTACATCCTACAAAATCTGAATCAGAATATCCAACTATTTCAAATGAAGAGCTATACTTAGGATACCAAATTCCTAAGTTTTGAATTCCCAAAAGATATCTCAAAATCCTTTTTACTGCTGTCAAATGTGATTATTTTGGATCTTATTGAAATCTATCACAGAAATAAATATTAAATATAATATCTGGCCTGCTAATTGTTAAATAAAGCAAATATTCAATAATTCCTCTAAATTTCTTTTAATCAATAGATTTTTCCTTTGGGTCCTTTTCCAATTGAATTGAGAAACTTATTGGTGTAATTACTGGTTTAGCATTATTCATTTCTTACTTCTTGAGGATGTCCTTAACATACTTTGACTGACTAGGAAATGTTTCCTCCTCATTTTGCTTAATGCTAAAACTAAGAAAATAACTTAAATCTTCCATTAAACTCATCTCAAATTCACTACTCATTATTTAAAAAAAAATTATCACAAAGATTTTTATTAATAGATCAAAAAATGATATCATCAGTATATATCTAAATAATGAGTATTTCATCTCCTAATTTCTTCAAAAAGAGAGTGGTATCCACACTTCTGTTTACAAAAGATCTTTCTAATATAAAAGTGCTTAACCTCTCATACTAACCCATAGGTGTCTGTTTCAATCCATACAATACATTTTTCAATTTATACACATGATTAGGGAATTTAGAACTTTCAGAACCTGGAGGTTGTATATCATAAACATCCTCTTCTATCTCCCCATTCAAAAAGTCAATTTTATTATCCATTTGAAATAATTTATATCCTCTAAAATAGGCAAAGACTAATAAAATCCTAATTTCTTCCACTCTTACTACAGGGGCAAAAAACTCCTCAAAATCAATCCCTTCAATTTCATTATACCTCTTAGCCATCAATCTAGCCTTATTTCTAACAACAATTCCTAAGACATTTATTTTATTTTTAAATATCCACTTAGTTCCAACTACACTTTGATCCTTTGGCCTTGCAATCAATTCCCAAACACCATTCTTTACAAATTGATTTAACTTTTCTTGCATGACCAAAATCCAAAATTCATCCAAAAGTTATTTATTAACATTTATGGGTTCTATCATTGAAATAAAGGCAGAATGGTTGTCATCTTTACTAAGTCCATGCCTAGTCCTAACACCCTTACTAGGTCCACCTAGAATCAATTCCATAGGATGGTTTTTATAAAATTTCAATTCTCTAGGCAAAAGGTTCTTTCCTTCCAAATTTTTATCCAAAATAATCTTCTCAATCCTTTGGGAGTTATTTTCTATATCATCTTCTTCCAAACTTAGCTCTTCTAAAATACCAAATTCATCAAATATAATATGTGTGGTCTCCTCAACTATTAAAGTTCTTTTTTTAAATACTCTATATGATTTTCTAACACTAGAGTATCCAAGAAAAATTCCTACATCTAATTTTGGATCAAATTTACCTAAAGGAGATTTTTCATTATTTTGAATGAACATCTTACATTCAGAAACATGCAAATGTGACAAATTAGGTATTCTCCCATTAAGAAGCTCATAGGATGTTTTGTTTAGTTTTGATCTAATGTTCACCCTATTTAGAATATAACATATAATACTAACTTCTTTAGCCCAAAAATATTTATGAAGTGAATATTCTACCAACATGGCTCTAAAGGCTTCAACAAATATTTTATTCTTTCTTTTGACTACCCCATTATGTTGTGAGGTCCTAGGTGTACAAAAATTATGATCAATTCCATGTTCTTTATAAAAATCCTCAAAATTTTCATTTTTAAATTCACCTCTGTGATCACTTTGAATTATTAAAATTTCACATCTTAGTTTCCTCTGAATCCATATTAAAAAATCTCTAAATTCCCCAAATGATTCATTCTTATGAAATTAAAATTTAACCCATGTGAATCTCGAGAAATTATCAACTATCAAAAATCTATATACCTTTTCTCCTAGACATACAATGCTAACCGGTCCAAAATGATTCATATGAATTATTTCCAATGGTTTGCAAATTCAAAGATCCTTAGTGGAAGGAAATGAGGACTTCACCTATTTTATTAGTTGACATGCATCACAATGGTGATCCTTAAAAAAATATAGTTTTGATATACCTCTAACTAGTTCCTTTTGGATAATTTTCCTAAGATTTTTAATGCTAGCATGATAAAGTCTCTTATGTCATAACCAAGATTCATCAGAAATTATTTTTAACAAAATAATTAGGAGTTTTAATATAGTTCAAGTCTAGTTTATAAATATTGTTTATCCTGGTTCCATGCAAAACATCATTTTTATATAGACTTAATATGTAGCTAGTAAGAAAAAAATTAACATTATACCCTTTGTCACATAGCTGGCCAATACTTAACAAGTTATGCTTTAAGTGTTTTATAAGTAGTACATTCTTAATAAAAAATTATTCAAGTTTTTTATCATACCCGTGCCAGCCACTTTCTTAGTGGTATTATCTCCTAGTGTAACCTTACCTCCATTCATGGCTTCCAGCGATATGAATTGTGTAGTGTCTCCAGTCATATGCTTTGAGCAACTGCTATGGTGAAGATCCTTTGCAAAAAATTGCCCTTTCAAATTGTGCTTTTGAATTAAGGAGGCAATGGGGGTAAATTTGGAGGATTTCATATTACTTCTCTGGGATTAGATTGGTTCATGTGCTCTTTTCAATCTCAGGAAGCAATGGAGGAAGTTCTCAATGGAGGTCCGTGGTATGTGGGAGGTTTTGTCATTGGTCTAGATAAATGGACTCCCAATTTTTCTCCTTATTCCTTGGATGGAATTTCTTCTCCAACCTGGGTTCGTCTTCCTCACTTGCCATTACACTACTGAGACAAAACCAATATTACAAGAATTATTTGGAGTATAGGGACTCTTTTATTATTGGATGGCAATATGTTTAGATGGTGGAGAAGGGAATTCGCTAGAGCATGTATTTGTGTAAAATTGAACTCGAAACTCCCTTGTGGTATTTGGGTTGAAGGTATACATGGAATATTTTTTCAAAAATTTGAATTTGAGAATTTATCTTCTATCTGTTTCAAATGTTGAAGAATTGGACATAGAGATGTGGTATGTCCAAATGGTTTTCAAAACCCAGATTTAATTGGCAAGGAAGTTCCCAAAGATCCTTTACTAGTTGAAGATAGGTCTTACAGACCTTGGATGCACGTTAAATTCAAATCCAAAAGAAATATTAAAGGTGTTAAGAGGGATTGTCATTTAAAACATGGTTCAGAATTCCAACCAGTTTGTTGGAGCTATGGTGGATCAAATTCAGAACGCCATACATTAAAGACAGCTGAAAAAAATGCTGAAATTAAGGGAAGACAAGAAGGTGCTGTTAGCCATAATTCAAACTTGTTGGTTGAGCCGGATATAGCTCAAAATACAAATACTGAAAACAATCAAGATGGTTCATTGATTCCTAAAATTAGAGTTGAAATTACTGAAGTTGATTTGGTTATTCAAATTTATGAGGAAGGTTGTACCAGAGTTCAAAATAACAGTGCTGAAAATTCGGGATCTCAAAATTCAATTTTTGAAATCCCACCAAGCATGGAGGCAGATAAGGTTGTTGAGGAGCTTCAACCGTATTTATTCCCAACAAATCCAGCTGGACAGAATTCTATTATTCCAACGGATACTCCTAAGATTGCTGAGAATTTGAATTATCAAGTTCCACAAATGATGGAGGCTGTTATGGAGAAGATTGAGAAGGAGCAGGTCATGGTTTTGACTCCTTCTAAAGCTGATAATATTTCAGGATTATCTGCTTATAATGATAAACTAAGAGATGACTTTTCTAATTCCATATCTCCTTCTTCTACAATCAGTTCAAAATTCAATAAAACTATTTTATTAAAGGATGAAAAAAGTACTTCATTGGAGCTATCCGGTTCTAAACCCAAGCTATTCAAAGAAATACAAGGGCTAGGACTAGTGAAAGATCAAAATAGGAGGAGGATTACTGATCACAAAGTGAAGAACGATTTGAAGAGTTCTTCCCAAAACCTTTCAGTAATATGATACCCGATTTTCTCATCACAATTTACAAAGTCGTTAGAGACATGAAGACGGAAATTCTAATCAAAGAATTTTCCATTTATTTTACTTGCTATTATAGAATTGGAATTTGGAAAAGAATTCTAAAATACCTATCTTTGGTTTTTATAGGTATTTTGAGAATGTCTTATCTTTTTTGTAATTTCTTTTGATTTTCCTTTATAGCTGTTTTTTTCTTTTGGCTTTTTTGTTTTTTAAACCTACTATATTTGTTTATGGGATCATTACTGGATCCTATTCTTTAACCGGATGGGAACTTTGGGATACTAATCAACCTTCGGGTTGTTTCAAATTATTGGTATCCCCTACATCTCAACGGTTTCAAAATACGAAACAGTGGGTTTCATTTCAAATTAATAGGTTTAATGATAACAAAATTGCTTTCAATAAGGATCCTTTTCATCAAGGATCTTTAGTTTCTTATTTCCCAGTTTGTATTAGGTTGTTTTTTCTATTAATTTTAATGCAACTTTGCATTTTCTCAAAAAAAAAAAAAATTCTTCAAGTGTAGGGGGTGTCCTATTTTCCTCAAGAGCTTTCACCTTAATTCTAAGAAATGAATTAGTATCTTCTAATACATTAATATCATATTTCAAATAATTCCCTCCTTTTTCAAATTCATCCTTAAAAGAATTAAATTCTTTTTCTAGTTTAATGTAGGATTATTTTAAAAGATCATTTTTCTTATTCAAATCATCAAATTCATCTAGTAAGCTCATGTGTTTGTTCTCAATCAGTGCATGATCTTTCCTAAGAGTTTCATGCTCCTTTTGTAACTCTTGCAATTCTAAATTCAATATAGCATGCATTTTCTTGAGTTTTTATATGTACTATGAATTCTTTCAGAAACATCAAGAAATTTATTATAGGTTAAGTCTCATATCTCTTCTTGATCTGACTAATCAATATTATTGGCCATTAAACACCAGTTGATGACTTCTTCTTCCTTCTCTATTTCTAACAAATCTGAAGATAAGTTCGCCCAGAAAGCTCTCTGAAATCTCTTCTTTCCCTTCCTCACATTTTTCTTTCTCCTCTACCTTCTCCTTGCTAAGGGTGGCTTTAAGATTAGGGCAATTTATTTTTATTTGTTCAAGTTTCTTTTATTCATAACAAATCACATCATTAGAAACCTTCACATTTTTGTGGAACTTACCTTTTTTCCACTTCTGGCATACCCTTTGCTTTTTTTTAAGAAAACTCTTGAATTGCCTAGTCATCAAGACAATATTGTCCTCATCCTCATGTTGTGGTAGATCACTCTCTAAGTCATCCACTTTCAATGCTATGTTCTTATCCTTTCACTGTTCTCCTACATTAATCTTCCTTTGACTCACTCCTTTATCGTAAGCAATTAGTGATCCAAGATGATTATCAATAGAATAAATATTTAAGTCCTTAGACTCTATAATATCAATTATTTTAGCATCATAAGCAATAGCCAAACAACAAAGAGTTTTATTAACCATTTAAGCATTTGTTAGTTCCCTACCTAACACATACAAAGAAGTGACTATTTGAGTGAATCTTGTGTACATGTCAAAAATGGATTCGTTAGGTTTCATACAAAATAATTCATATTCATGTAACAAGATATTCAATCTAGATTTCTTCACTTCATTAGTCCTTTCATATGTAATACAAAGCCTATCCCAAATGTCCTTTCAACTTTTGCAAGTAGAAACTTGCATATAATCTTCAGACTTAAGAGCACAAAAGAAACTATTTAAATATTTTGCATTTAATTATGCTAAGTCATATTTTTCAATAGTCCAGTTAGAAAAAGGTGTTTTAATTCTAATGCCATCTACAAATCTAGTTGGCCTAGTATACCCTTCCTGAATTAAAATCCACATGGGATAGTCAAGCAATTAAAGAAATATGAACATACCTATTTCAAAAAATCAAATGGGATATTATCAAATAATGGAGGTATAATGATTGAATACACATCAGGTGTGTTTTGATTTCCAAATGTATCCATTATCATTTTCAAAAAGTAGTCTAAACTTATAGTTTTAAAGCAAAGTTCTGATACCACTTGTTGATTCTGTATAGGTTGTTAGACTTATGTAATTGTCCCAAGGCTAACCAAGAGGGGGAGGGAATTGGTAATTTAATTTTTTATAGATTTTTAATAGAAAACAATTTTTAAATATTTTTATAAAAATAGTTTTTCAACCAAAATAATAAAATTATAGAAAATTAAAATGCAGAAAATATAATGAACACACAGATTAATAATGGTTCGATCCACCAAAACCTACATCCAGTCCCTGAAGACTCCCTCTTCAGGTATTGCACTATTACCAAAAGTGACTCTTCTTTTGCTCCTACAACAAGGCAGAGAAGCCTTTATAATTTTCCTCTATTCTTCCAATCCTCAGTGTGATAGAGAACCATCATCCTTTTACACCCTCCAATTGTCGGTAGAGTACCATCGTCTGTTTATACTCTCCAAGTGTTGGCAGAGAACCGTCATCCTTTCACAGCCTCCAAGTGTTAGTAGAGAACCATCATCCTCTTACACCCTCCAAGTATTGACAGAGTATCAGATCTTCTTCAAAGATCTTATCTCGAGCAACTAGATAGATGAAAAGGAAGAGTAGTAATCAAAAACTAAAAGAGATTCTTACCTTTAAGTAACCTTGTGAACCCTTCATGCTCCTCTTACAAGAATTCTCTCTCAAACACTCTCTCACACTCACTCTTTCACTTGCTCTTGAAAAATCATAAAGAATAACCTTTTTCACATCAGTTTTTATGGACCTTTTATATGAAAGACACGAAAAACTATCCAAAAAACTAAAATTTTCCATTTTGAGCATGTACGATCGTACAATATGATCGTGCAGTATGATCATATTTTTGCACATATGAATAGTTTAAAACCTATTATGTACAAACCTTTGTGAATCTGTATGAAATATTTTTGTACATGATAATCATCTAGTACGAGCCAAGTTAGTACTATACGAATCAGTTAGAAAACTTTTCAACTTCGTCGGGACAAAAAGATACCCCGCATTTTTATACCCTATACATCATATATATGAATAGGAAATCATACAATAAAATCCGTTCAAAAAAATTTAGCATTCATCAGGATGGAAAAGGGACACTTAAAATTCGTACTATGGACATCGTCTATACGAATAGGATATTATATAGTACAATTAGTTTACAAAACTTTGAGATTCATTAAGACGAAAAGGGATCCATCCATTTTGTACTCTGGACCACGTCTATATAAATATGATATCATACAATATGATCCATTTAGAAAAAGCTTTAAATTCATCAGGTTGAAAAGGGACCCATCCAAATCATACTCTGGATGTCGTCTGTACAAAGGAACCTTCGTATAGTACAACCAGTACTTAGAAAAGTTTTTTTCCTGTAGTTCGTTTGATTGCTCGTAGGAGAAAATAACTGAACAAATTGTCCCTTACAAAAAGTCTTCGTACAGTATGACTAGTTTAGAAAATTATAAGTTGTAAACACTCCCCTAGTGTGTGTGTGTGTGTGTATGCACAATTACTCAATTATAATGACTCTTTCAGACTCAATAAAATAAAAAATATAGACTCCATTTAAAATGAACCCTAATCTATTCTGATTTGAAGTCTTCAATAATTTGGTGTATGATATCACTAAAATATTAGTACACACAAACAACCAAAGCAATACATCCAAAATATGTTAGGAGAACCTATAATTAAAAAAATAATATTTGGAATCATAAAAAGCATACATGTTGCATGAAT